TACATGGGCCTCTCACTGCTGTGGCCTCTCCCGTTGCGGAGCACAGGCTCCAGACGCACAGGCTCAGCGGCCATGGCTCACGGGCCCAGCCGCTCCGCGGCATGTGGGATCCTCCCAGACCGGGGCACAAACCCGTGTCCCCTGCATCGGCAGGCGGACTCTCAACCACTGCGCCACCAGGGAAGCCCTCAGATTTTGAATTTTGATCTTTTCCTGGACAGTGATACTGGGTACCATCCTCTCTCGTGCTGCTGGGCAGTGCGCCATCACAAGGGTGAACAACCCATACACTCACAACCACTCTGTACCCACATAAGCACTCTGTTTTTCACTTTCAGTACAGCATTCAGTAAGTCACATGAGACATTTGACTTTATTATAAAATAGGCTTTGCATTAGATGATTTTGCCCAACTGTAGACTAGTGTAAGTGTTCTGAGCACATTCAAGGTGGGCAGGGCTAAGCCATGATGTTTCGTAGGTGAGGTGTATCAAACACGTTTTCACCTTATGATATTTTTAACTTAGGATAGGTTATTGGATGTAACCCCATCATAAGTCGGGGAAGATCTGTCCTTCAAAATACCACTTAGTATTTTGGTTTTAGAGTGTTCAGCCTAGTGGAAAAAATAAATATACTAATTCATCTGGCATCCTCGCACTGTGAGAGTTTAAATTAGACCCAAAGCGGATATTTTTACCCCCTGTGTAGGTATGTCATAATGTTTTCAGTTGTATTTTTAGAACCTCTGGTGTGTGACGGGGTTGTTTTCTAAGTGTGTAGTAATAACAGCCACTCTCCCAGTGATTCCCAAGCCAACTGTCAGTGCACAGAGAGGCTGGGGGGGTGGCATATATGTGTGTCAGCAACATGTGGGTGTTAGATGTGAGTGTAAACCGCCCAAGAGGGGATGAAATAAGGCAAGACGTGGGGAAACTTACATACATTCAGATTTTTAAAGGTAATTGAAGCCAAACAGTTGTGATGACTAATGAAAAATTGGCTTAAATTACAATTTTAAAATATACCTTTGTTCCTTAGGTTCAAAACTTTGATTTGGTTAAAAAATGAAGTATTAAGTTTGTTTTCAGTTAACTGTTCAATTTGACCTTTTTTCCCCCAAATAAAATGAAATCCTAACTGTTGCATAATGTTAAATACATAGATAAATAAATAACTCTTTATGGCTAATTTACCTCAAATTTGTATCTTTTAATTTAGTTCACTTTTCTTGCTGTTATTAGAGATAGAACTTTGCCAGCGGTAGAGGGTGAAAGAAATAATTTCTTCGTTTTCATGTTTCTCAATTGTTTACACGTTTTGACTAAGATAGTTTTACAACTGGTTTGATTCATTTTAAGTTCACAATTTTTTAATTGGTTAATGAGTGATGATGTTCTCTGTTTAGTGACCTCAGATGAAAGCAATAAAACTTGGGGCAGGAACACGGTCTCTCGACAAGAAGAATTTGAAGATGTAAAAAGGAATTTCAAGAAAAAGGGTTGTACCTGGGGTCCAAATTCCATTCAAATGAAAGAAAGAACTGACTGCAAAGAAAGGTACTTCTGTGACATCTGGTGGCATTCCAGTGTGTACTGTGATAAATAGCAGTGCGTTTTAAATATTGCACTGGCCAGACCTAACTTTTATTTATTTATTTTAAATTTATTTATTTTTTGCGGTATGTGGGCCTCTCACTGTTGTGGCCTCTCCTGTTGCGGAGCACAGGCTCCAGATGCGCAGGCTCAATGGCTATGGCTCATGGGCCCAGCTGCTCTGCGGCATGTGGGATCTTCCCGGACTGGGGCACGAACCCGTGTCCCCTGCATCGGCAGGCGGACCCTCAACCACTGCACCACCAGGGAAGCCCAGGCCAGACCTAACTTTTAAAAAGCAATTAGAGTAATACAGAGATACCTGAATATAATTTCATTTCTAGGATGAGTTTATCCTACTAAATCAATTATTATTTAGTTAAGCAATTAAAAAGATTCTCTGTCTCATGTTAAGGTTTTATCTGTACTTTGTTAGCTCTTTAAAACATAGAGGCCAATATGTTCTCTTTACTACCTAAAAATATTGTTAGCGTGTATCCACCAAAACCTAATTTGTGTGTCATATGGTTCTATTATATCAAAATAAACATTTTTCTCTTGTAGAATAAGACCTCTCTCAGATGGCAACAGTCCTTGGTCAACCATCTTAATAAAAAATCAGAAAACCATGCCGCTGGCTTCATTATTTGTGGACCAGTCAGGTAAATGTGCTTCAGGAAATAGAATTTGTTTGAGTTAGACTGAGCCTCTGAGAGTTCTAGAAGGTTGTTAGCAGCATCACATATACTGGGTAGTAGCAGTGGCTACACTAAGCTCAAAGCTTATCTTCTGTCCTGTCAGTCTTCGTGGCGGAAAGTAATTAGGCTCCACATCGTTTATTAGGAATTTGTAACTCTTATTCTTCACCAGAAAAATTAGTATAATTTATTATATAGAACCAAATTACTGTAGTATAGGAAATAGTAAATATGAAAATGTAGGCGCCCTGAAATTCTGCTGAGATTATATTCCCACCCCACGACCTGATGAAATATTGTCAGGCGGGTTAGTTGTGGGAAACTACTGCTGGAGAGTTTTACACTGGAATCTCTCGTTTAAATGAACCATCATCGCTTTCAGTGTTCAGTATTCCTATTCAATATTCAGATATTAAAAGGTTGAAGAGATTTGGAAGTTGCTGGAAATTTTCAGTGATGGGTAACTCTGAAGAAAAGCAAATTGGTCTTTATCCTTGACAATTTAAGACAGCCCTTTGGTACTGTGGTCAAACTAGAGATGTTTTAGCAAAACGCGGTGTAAACTTCTTGAATTTATGATCGGTGCTATGCTCAGTTTTACAAGCACCTTATCACCTACTGCCCATGTTTAGTTTTCTTCTTCTGTGTTCATCACAAGTGTGTGGTTTCAGCATAAATATCTCCTTAAATACTTTCAGGTAAACACAAGGCAGGTGCTGTGTAATCCCTGGGTAGATGCTTTCTGATGTCAGATTCATTACTGTATTCCGACTCTTTCTCGCCTGTAAAGGCATGAGGGTCTCTCATTATACACTACGATTCATCATCAGATGGCGTTTGAGGACTAATGAAGAACAATTAATAGTAATAAAACTGTTAATTCTATAGTACAAGTTTCATTATTTGTGACTGTTGAAAAAAAGTCTTCTTGCTTTTTTTCCCTGAATTTTTGTAATTCTTTCTTAGAATATTTTGATCCTATGAATAACTCTTCCACAGGACAGTTGGAGGAAATAAAAGGATGTATTTGGCTGACTCAGCTGGGTCTCCATTAAGTTAACCCTGTAGGTCATTGGAAGGATCACTGAGCAAAAGGTTTACACAGTCCGTCCTGCTTGAAGGTCCCCCTCCCACCTTCCATCTGTGGGGCCTCATCCTTCTAAGTGTTTCTGTCTCAGCCCAAGCATTTCCTGAAAACCTCCCCTGACCGCCTTAGCTGCAGTGGTGTCTCACCCCATCCCTGTATCTTAGTACCCAGTTTTACTTATGCATCGCTCTCCCCTGAAATCCTTATTGGTCTGCATGGGCACCAGTAATGTGTGTGTTCTCTGTCACCCCAAATTAGAATGTCAGCTCCTCGAAGGCAAAGATTTTATCTGGTTTGTTCACCACTCTACTCCCAGGGCCTGGTGCATAGCAAGTCTCAGTATCTCCTGAATGCCTAAGTGAATCCTAAAAGGACAGTTTGATCTGATGTAGATGTTGATTGTATTCACCTTGGTTTGGGGGCTGCGAATGCATGCCATCAGTCGTAGAAAGACTGGGAAAGATTGTGATGGGTCCGTGTAGACTCATGACAGCTCAGGAGGAAAGTGTGGGAAAGGAAGTGCTCAGTATGCTTCAAAACCTATGGCTTTTACTTGTCAACAGCATTTACCCTCTTTTTAAAAAAATGATGGCTTAATAATTTGTTATTCGTTACCTGTACCGTGCATTCAACCCATCAAAGCGCAGTTCGTGCCTACTTGATGAAGGCACTATTTGGGGAAGACCCCTCCCAAGATGAAACCTGCAGGGATGCTCACAGCCGCTGTGACCTGAAAGTAGAAAAAGGAGGAAACCGAACGACACCAGAGAGGCTTCAGTGGAAGCCAAGATCACATGTGGGAAGAACGGCAGTGTCAGGCCACCTGAGGGCCCGGCAGGATTTTGAGATAGAATTTGTCTGAGGGAAATGGGACAGTGCGAGAAGGACACGGGGAGAACGATAGCAGAGGAAGATACCAGGCTTGAAGGGAGAAAAGCTGGGAAGAGCACGGGCTTGTTGGGAGAAAAGCTGGCATGCAGCTGGTCTAGCGAACCGAGCACATTTTAGGTGCCGTGGACACAAGGCTGCAGAAATCATGCGTGGCTCTGTCGGGGATGCTCTGGACACCAGATGCGGGAGTTCGTCGTTTCAGTCGTTCATGGTTAAGCCCTAAGTGATAAGAATTACAGCTCCTCTCCAGTAGCAGAATATGTTACCCTTTGGGGCTCTGACCTCTGGAGAATCTTCTCCTGATGCGGGGCTCCTACACTTTAATGGCAGCTTGTTGAAACAGGCTGCTGGGCACCACCATAGTCTGAAGTGTGCTAAGAATTCACTGCTCTACGAAGGATGGTTCCTGTAGCAACAGGGCGTGGCCCAGTTATCTAGGTCACGCGCAAGGGCACCTTTTGTCTGACATGTCCTCCTGCTGCTGTCTGTGCATGTGCATTTCTGTATCTTGATGACTTTGTTTCTATAGAAGTTTCTGTTTTCTATGTCAGTGAAGATCCACTTCCTGAAGGACAGGAAACAGCAGAGGACTTGCTCACCTGTTCCTGTGCAGGGAGCTGAGTCATTGCACCCTGGATGCCCCTTCCTTAGAGTCCTCCTGGACGAACCATTTGCTGAACTGCACAGGACTCCATGTGTTTTGATTTAGAATATGTATTTATTAGATTTCGGCCTTGTTTTACAGTACAGCTTGCATGGTTTTTACGGCAAAATGGTCCTAGCCTGTGTGTATTTATTCTTCTCTGTAGGTGCATGTGAAGAGCCACAACCTGCCCCAGACGGATTGGAACACAGAAAACCAAAGCAGATAAAATCACCGAGTCAAGCCTACATTGATCTACCTCTTTGGAAAGATGGCCAGAGAGAGAATCTGGTGGAACCCGAAAGCTGGGAGGAGAGAACCCCGGTGGGCCCTGCCACCAGCATTCCTCAGGGGACCCCTCCGAACAGTCTGAGCAGATCCCCCCAGAGGAAGAAGACAGAGTCTGCTCTGTATGGCTGCACTGTGCTGCTGGCGTCGGTGGCTCTGGGCCTGGACATCAGAGAGCTCGCGAAAGCACAGGCCGCTGAAGACCCGTTGCCCAAGGAAGAAAGGAAGAAACGCGAAGGCATCTTCCAGCGGGCGCCTAAGTCCCGAAGCAGTGCCAGCTCCGCCACTAGGCTGCCAGCCACAGGCGAGGGGACCATCAGCCCATCCCCACTCCCTCCGTCCAGCGCCGTGAACCTCCTGTCCATGCCTTCTCTGTCCACCAAGTGCCTGCTGCAGACTGATGGTGAAGATTCCTTCGAGAGCAGCACACACGTCCCTGGTGACCCCAAGGTGCCCATTCCAGATCCTTGCCCTGCCTTTGGAAGGAGGGATCAGGAGCCAACCCCCGTGCCAGGGCTGGAGACCCATCGTGGTATGTGGGGAAACCTGTCTCCTCCCTTCACGGTTCCAGCACGTGCGGACGCATCTTACGCTGCTGCTTCAAAAGAAAGAGCAGCACATCACCGACAGACCATGTCTGATGGAAGTGCTTCTCAGCACCCAGGTAGGCTGCATTCGTGGGTGAGAGTACCAAACACCCCTGTAGAGGATAGACGGTAAAATTGTATGGCTCTCTGATTTTATCTTTTCCAAGCGATTACATTTACAAATTTGTTTTCACATAAATCTTTGAATTTTACCCTACTCTTTTGTTTGACTTTATTATTTGGATCCTTGGAAGAGTATAATTAAATTTCAGTAATTTAAATACATAATAGCATATTAAAACAGAAAGAGGGGCTTCCCTAGTGGCTCAGTGGTTGAGAGTCCGCCTGCCGATGCAGGGGACACGGGTTCGTGCCCCGGTGCGGGAGGATCCCACATGCCGCGGAGCGGCTGGGCCCGTGAGCCATGGCCGCTGAGCCTGCGCATCCGGAGCCTGTGCTCCGCAAGGGGAGAGGCCACAGCAGTGAGAGGCCCACGTACCGCAAAAAAAAAAAAAAAAACAGAGCACATGGAGAATAACTGCCCCAAGCCCCTCGTGGTAGGAAGGAGAGTCATTTGCCAAAATCTGAACCAAATAATTAATGGGAGAGTTGGCAGTAAAACTGGTCGTTTGACACAGCATCACCTGGCTTTGCTGCCCAAGTTTATGTTGAGATTGAGTTTAGGGGGTGTAAAAGTCAAATGGACAGTAGGTGCTGTGTGGGGAATGACTGTTATTCCTTTTGTATATAAAGATAATTACAGCTACCTCAGATATAGATCATGAGGATTAAGTGAGATAATGTATATGATAAATGCTTTTTAGATTGTAAAATGTTATGCTAGGATCGGTTATAAAGTATAGTAAAACTGAAACTGCTTTCATTTGCGTTATCTTTTCATTTATCTCTAAGTGCTACGCCTAGACAAGATTTTTTTTTATATTATTGTTCATTGTCTTTAGATAAATTGGTTTATTGCTCTTTTATGATGCAATAAAATATTAGTAATTTATAATTACACACGGTGAAATCCTAGCACAAGAATCCCATAAAAAAAAATTCTTTTTTTCTTAGTTTGAAACCAATGATTATTTGCTACAGCAGTAGTAAGTCAGTTCTTCAGAACAAAAAAGGGAGGGTGTAACATGTAAAAACGTATCTGCTTTCTTATTTTCATTAATTTTTTCAAATCATCATCTGAGAGTGAATTCAGTCATATTCACCATCATTTTTAAGTCTTAACTTCAGTCCGGTCTAACCCATTGTGAAATCTATCCTGTTAATAAAACACTTCTAATAATCATTGTCCTAAGCATATGATGATGACTTAGCTCTTTACAGGTGTCGTTTCCATAGGTTCAAGCAGTCTTTCCAACCTTGTAGTACTTTTCCATAAAAACAAACATTCTGGGCTTCCCTGGTGGTGCAGTGGTTGAGAGTCCGCCTGCCGATGCAGGGGACACGGGTTCGTGCCCCGGTCTGGGAAGATCCCACATGCCGCGGAGCGGCTGGGCCCGTGAGCCATGGCCGCTGAGCCTGCGCGTCCGGAGCCTGTGCTCCGCAACGGGAGAGGCCACAACAGTGAGAGGCCCGAGTACCACAAAAAAACAAAAAACAAAAAGCAAAAAACAAACAAACAAAAAAAAAACATTCTATCCTAACAATTTTAAAGGTAAGGTTTGTGTTCAGGTTCTTTTGTGAAAGCTCACTTTAAGGTGGTCACCTAAGGGAAGGCATTCTGGTTATTTTCCTTGCTATCCATTGATTTTGACATCACTGTCTTTCTAATCACACACTGTCTTTGCCTCCTCAACCAGCTGGTGCAGCTCTCATCTCAGCCCCCGGAGCCTCTCAGCTGCCCCCTGAGTGGGTTTGGGGGACGCCCCCCTCGCCGCCTGGACCCCATAGTGACCTGCCAAGTGAGGTTCCGCCCGAAAAACAGAAAGCTGTCCATATGGTGCTTCTACCCCGCCCTCCCCACCTAAGAAGCCAGGTAGGTGCCCCGAAGGCTTTCCCGCAGAGAACAGAGTCTCAGCCCGCACAGGCCTGCCCTGTGGTGGGTGGTCCAGGACCAGCCCCTGACTGTCCCCTCGGTGCCAAGGAGAGAACTAAGCCCCACGTGCCTTCCTTACTGGATGCCGACGTGGAAGGCCAGAGCAGGGACTGCACGGTGCCTCTGTGCAGGCTAAGAAGCAGAATGAGCCAACCATCCCTGTACGAACTGGAGAAAGAATTTCTGTCTTAAGTGCCTTATATTGTTCAAAAGCATTTCTTTTTTTTTTTTTGTAAGGTGAACAAATGAAAACAGTGTGTCTACCTTTGAATTGTTTTATGCTGCTGTGTTTTCAAAGCTGTGGCCGTGTTACTAAAATAGTAATGGATGTCTAACTTCTCCAAAAATATATGTGATTGCTGTTGGCTGACTGTATTGTTATTCCACTGGATTCTTACCTAGCAACTTGAAACACTACACATGTGTAAAACAAATGTGCACCAGTGTAAATCTGTGTTTAAGCACAATTTTAAATGCTTTGTTTGCTCCCATTTGTATCCTTGTCTATTAGTACACACAGAAATTATAATGAGTGCGCCATTTTTGTTTCCTTCCTCCCTGTTTCCTTCCTTTTGTTTTCTATTTTCCTTTACCTTTTTCCATTTCTTTCCTTTTTTTTTTGTTATTCGTGCAACAAGAAGCCAAGAGTAATGTGATGTTAGCAAGTAAAGATGTTTATGTAAAAAGAATTTGATGACTAGAGTAGATGGAGAGTCATATTTGAACTACCTAAACTCAGCAGTAGGCTAATAATGCATAAGTATGTCCAAGTCTCACCTAAAATATGCACTATTTCTCTCTTTGAGAAAATTTTACTGAATGTAACTTGTAAAAGTTTTAATGAATGTAACTTCTAAAAATTTTATCCATTAGAACTCCAAAGTAGGTTTTTCAAAAAGCCAGTCGTTGACATTTGACTCAGACCATACTGTATACAGTTGAGAGGCACTAACCTGTGTGTTCTCCCTGTAGAAAGGATCTTCCTTATTCCTTCATCAGTAGCCATTGATTTGGTATCCAGAAGTGTAAAGCTTTTCCTTTTGTCGTAGAGTTTTTAAAAATTAATCAATGCGTGCGTTATGTGCCGAAGAAAATTCATGTCATTTAATATTATTTTTCTCTATTTAAATGCATAATCATCCTAATAATCTCAAATACAGTTAGAAACACTGCAAAGTCAAGAAACAGCAGTACGGTTAGAATTTAAGTGTTTTAAAATAGTTATTCACTTAATTGTAGATACATGTTAGATATCTGTTGGGTGGGAGAAGCTGATGTGATAGAATGGAGAAATATAAGTTATTTTCAGATGTGGGTTTATAAAGCGAATCTTTGGATAGCAGATCAGGTTGATTTTAAATTATTTTATGAGTCACTTTTATAAATAGAGTTATGATAGAGATAAACTACTGAGTTATTAAGCTACTGAAATGGCTATCCAGGAGCTTGGTAAACTTGCCTGGGTTCTTTTGTTAAATCTATTATGCTTCTCTCCCTAGAATATGGTTATTCAGATGACACACAATAAGCATTTAAAATTTTCCCTAC